TCCTGTAGATGATCTCAAGAAGCGAATTCTAGATGAGGCACATAAAAGCAAATATACGATTCATCCAGGAATGACCAAGATGTATCAAGACATCAAGTCATTATTTTGGTGGCCTGGTATGAAACGAGATGTCACTGAGTATGTGACAAAGTGCCTTACATGCCAGAAAGTGAAGACGGAACACCAGAAGCCGTCAGGATTTTTACAACCCCTTAGTATTCCTGAATGGAAATGGGACAGTATCTCTATGGACTTCATAGTAGGACTACCTCGTACGTCGTCAGGATACGATGCAATATGGGTCATAGTTGATAGACTGACGAAGTCGGCCCATTTCTTGGCGATTAATGTTAAATATTCGCCAGAGAAGTTAGCGAGGTTATACATTAAAGAGATCGTAAGATTACATGGGGTTCCAGAATACATTGTGTCAGATAGGGATCCAAGATTCATGTCGAGATTCTGGAAAGCAGTACAAGAAGCCATGGGCACGGTACTGAGTTTCAGTACAGCTTATCATCCGCAAACGGACGGACAAACAGAACGAACGATACAGACACTAGAAGATATGCTGAGAGCGTGCGTTTTGGATTTCAAAGGGAACTGGGATGAATATCTGCCTTTGGCAGAATTCGCGTACAACAACAGTTACCATTCCAGTATCCAGATGGCACCATACGAGGCATTGTACGGAAGAAAGTGCAGATCCCCGCTTTGTTGGACAGAACTCAGAGAGAGAAAAATTTGGGGTCCAGATATAGTGGATCGTACCTCTGAACAGATTAAACAGATCAAACAGAGGTTACTCACGGCTCAAAGCAGACAGAAGAGCTACGCTGACAGTAGAAGAAAGCCGTTAGAGTTCGAGGTTGGGACCATGTATTCCTGAAGGTATCTCCAACTACTGGAGTAGGACGATCTATTAAGGCGAGAAAGCTGACGCCTAAATATGTGGGACCATTCCAAATACTCTCAAAGGTAGGACCTGTAGCCTATCGACTGGCCTTACCCCCGAATTTAAGTCAGTTGCACAATGTCTTCCATGTTTCCCAGTTGAAGAAGTACAATCCGGATCCAGAACATGTGCTAGAATATGATCAGATTGAGCTAAAGAACAATCTGACATTTGAAGTAAGACCAGAACGCATAGTGGACCGGAAAGTCAAGCAGCTGAGGAACAAAGGAATCCCTTTGGTCAAAGTGATTTGGAAAGATCTAAATCAAGAAGAGGCCACGTGGGAAAAGGAGGACGAGATGAGGAGCAAGTATCCAGAGCTCTTCACATAAGGTATGTGTTAAAATTTCGAGGACGAAATTTATTTTTAGGGGGGAAGAAATGTCACACCCTGATAATTTTATTCTAATTGATGAATGATTTGTGACTAACTAAGGCCAAATAGTATAGTAGACTGGTAGAGGATCCAGGCTATGAGGAAAAATCAGGATAGGGACATAACGGTCATTTTGAAAAGATCAGTTAAGAAAGGGCAGTATTGGAAATAATGTCCAAATTTCCTGAAAATTCCCAGAAAATCATGAAAAATAGAAAGGAGGGTACAGAATAATGTTTGAGGCTTAGAAGATGAATATGAGATTAAAAATAATTTATCAGGGAATTATTTGTAATTATTGGAATTTTTGGTTAATTAAGGAAAATTAGCCAATTTCCATTATTTAAAATATATAGAGGCCTCAAAAATTCAAGGAAAAATATGGATAAATTATGTGACATATTATCCTAATTTATAAAATTATTTCCCACCTTTGGATGTACAGAGGTTAGCTTAAAGAATATTTATTACCGAATTATTATCGGTAGAATAGTGATTTTTGACAGGATAAAATTAGAAAATTATAGAGGGAGGTAAAACTTGAGAAAAATCATGGATTACCCTTGGAATGAGGGGAATTTAATGAGGTGTTGAAATCGAAATTTTGTGACAGTAAATTGGACAGGATTGTTGGAAAATCGGACCGGAAATACACAAATAATCAGTGGATTGCACTGATTATTGGATGAGTCATTTTTTTTCCAATATTAAGAGCAATATTTCGGCCAAAATAAAGGGGGAGGACAAAGTTGGAATTTTCCAAATTGTTCAAGGGCATAAAGGGAAATAAGAGACAAAACAATAAAATAATATTTTATTTCCACATGAAAATCACATGGTGATTAGGTGTCCATCCATGTCTCACTTTCTTATGGTGTGTGCCCTAAGATTTGTCCATGTGTAAAGTAGAAAAAAATGGACGGCCGAGATCGCATCTTTTTCCCGAAGGGCATTTTTGGCATTTTGAAATATCAAAGCCTATAAATACCCCCCTTCCATGAACAAATTCGGCCAAGAGGTTTGTTGAGAGGAATTTTGTGTTCTTGAGTTCTAGGAGAGAGAAAGGAAGAAAGAAGAGAGAGAAAGAGAGAAAGCAAGCTTAGACACCTCTAATCGTCGATTAAGAGCTAACTAAGGTATGTTTATCTCCCTAAGTGTTAATTATTTTTAGATGATTATTTATTTGAGGAAGATTAGGATTAATTACCTTGATTAATTATGGTTTAGTGATAGCTAAGATTAATCATGTTATTTGATTAAGGATTAGTAAGTGATTAAGGTTAGCTACCCTAATTAATTAGTGATTAGTTATGATAATTTAAGGATTGATTAAGCTTAATCATATTGATCAGAGAATGATTAATCATGTTGATTAAGGAATGATTAAAGGTTAATCATGTTGATTAAGGAATGATTAAAAGTTAATCATGTTGATTAAGGAATGATTAAGGATTAATCATGTTGAGTAGAGAATGATTAATGGTTAATCCAAAAGGGATTAGTGACTTAATCTTAAGGGATTATGACTATGTGACTTGAGGACCTTAATTAAATATTGGATCAAGGATTAAGGGTTAGTGATTAACCAAGAAAGCATGATTAATCATGGATTAAGGAAGAATTCCAAGACCTTAATTGAGGATTAAGGCTTGGTCAAACCAAGGTCAAAGGTTTAGGAAAGGTATACAGAAATTATAAATTGAAAGGCACAAGGGTAGCACTATATTGAGAAAGAATGGTATACTGGATATGGAATTTACCATACCCTTACTGTATGGTTGATAGGCAATTCTTCTGGAAACATAGGAGGATCTCCAGCAAGGGAACAAGGAGGAAACGTTAAGCGTGGAATTGAGGTAGCGTGAATTGCAATTATTTTGTTGATCTGCATTTGGTGTTTCTGCTATGTGTGTTTATGTGCCATGAGAATGTTTATGTACAGATGATGTGAACTCCTTGCAATGTATGCCTTGGCTCTTACATGATTGAGTTTTGACCAGAATGATTATATGCTCCATGATATGATGACATGGATACAGAATGGTTATGGCATGGCATAAAGACTAGAAATGTTATTTTACTGCATGTAGCATGACATCTTATGCATGTTGACTTGATGGTTGTATGTTCAATGCTACTGGGATTTCTATGAAATCTCATTCCTCCTATAACATGATATCCTAGGTGCCACTACTGCCAAGGAGAAGGGAAAGGAAATAATCATGGCTTGAGGAAGTTATGAATTATGTAATGTATTATACGGTTTTGAACCTTTCTCTTTCAAGCCATGTAAGCATACTATGATCATGAATACATGATATGATAACCTTTTTGGAATGTATATTAATGATAGAATAGCTTTACATGTGATTATGGTATGATTATAGTGAAAAACGAAATGCTGTTAGAATTAGTGAAAAAGGGGATAAAAATGGTCTAGTTTTGACCAAACTTTGACCAACGAAGACCCTGGTCAAATAGTTGACTTTTTCCCTGAAATTTGGTATGCAAATAGATCTTATTTTTCCCTTTAAAATGAGTGGTAAAGCGTCACAATCGGAGCTCTGTGTAAGAAGTTATGCCTTTTCAAAGTTAGGCAAAAATCCTGGAAAATAGAAAAATGACCAAATGAACAGTACTTTTTGAAATTAAAAACGGATGAGTTTCTGATTAAAGTGGAACCTGAGGTCATTTTTCCTTGATAGATGATGTTAAGAGCTTCGAGTGAGACTTGAAACGACCTTGTTTCGATTTTTCTAGAATTAGTTATGATTTTCCAAAGTTATGCCAAGTTTAAGGTTACAGTGAATAGTAATGCGGGAAAAGAAATTTTCAAATTCAGGTCTTTCAACCCGGTAACCTTAAATTGCACTTCCAAATGTCTTAACTTGGCACAATATAAGGTCGTAAACGTAAGGTGTTACACATGTCATTAGCCTCTGTTGGTTTGTCAGTCACTTATGTATAGGTTGTAATTGGCTGCTATTAATGACACAAACGTAGGTTGTGATTGGCTACTGTGTAGGTTATGAGTATATGCCGTGCATGCTATTATTCAGTTGAGTGTGGGTTGTGATTAGGTTATATATATGTTGTGATTGGTTGGTGTGAAGGTTGTTACTGTCCTATGCGTGGATTGTCATTAGCCTCTGTTGGTTTGTCAGTCACTTATATATAGGTTGTAATTGGCTGTTGTGATTGGATGCTAGGTAGGATGTGAGTATATGCTATGCATGCTATCATTTGGTTAAGTATGGGTTGTGATTGGCTTCTGTGCATGTTGTTAATAACTCAAATATAAGTTGTGATTGGATACTGGGTAGGTTGTCAGTGTATGCTGTATATGCTATCATTCGGTTAAGTGTGAGTTGTGATTGGCTTCTGTGCATGTTGTGAATGCCATATATGTAGGTTGTGATTGGATGCTGGGTAGGTTGTGAGTGTATGTTGTACATGCTGTCATTTGATTAAGTGTGGGTTGTGATTGGCTTCTGTGCATGTTGTGAATGCCACAAATATAGGTCATGATTGGATGCTATGTAGGTTGTAAGTGTTTAGTGTATATGTTGTCAGTGGCCTCTTTGCATGTTGTGATTGTCAGCACATAGCTAAGTTATCATTTACTTGATATGCAGATTTATTACTTATAACACTTTTCTTTGGGAAAAGAAAAGGCTTCAAAAAATAAGAATGCCATTGTCTATTGGGATGAGGAAAAAGTGAAGGCAAGAGTGAAATTAGAAAAGAGTAGTGACAAAGACTTACTCCATGGTGTTACCAACATTGGTGGGGCTTCATCTAGTACATTTAATACAGAAATAAAGCTAACCCACTCGGTAAGTAAGTAACGTCTACGTGATTTTGGTGCTGTGTACAATTTGGAGTAAAGATTACTTTAATTACTATTGTTTTGCAGGAAATAAAGACAACTTATGAAAGGTTGGTCACCATGGTTGAAGGGTTGGTGTCGACAATTGGAGAAGAGTTGGCTTCCTTGCAGTTGAGGTTAACAAATGAGGGTGACAAGGAAGATGTGGTGGAAGCAGTAAGCAGTGAAGATGATGAAGAGAACTCAAGTGAAGATGAAGAAACTAGTAGAGATGGTAAAGGAAGCCCAAGAGATTCAATACATAAGGAAGAACAGAGTAAACCTGAAAAACATGATAAGGAAGAGAAAAAAAGTGGTCTACTCGAAGAAGAAAGTAAATCTTAGCATGAAGAGAAAGGAGAAGGGAGTGAACTAGAAAAAGATGACAAAGAAGAGGAGAAAAGTGCTCCACCTGAAGAAGAGAGTCAATCTCAACATGAAGAGAAAGGAAAAAGGAGTGAACCAGAAAAAGATGTTAAAGAAGAAGAGAAAAGTGCTCCCCTTGAAGAAGAGAGTCAATCTCAACATGAAGAGAAAGGAGAAGGAAGTAACCTTGGATCAGAGGATGATGGAGAAGAACAAACTAAAGACAAGTCTAGTGATACAGCAGTAGCAGAGGATAAAGGGGAAGGTAATAATAAGGAGGGAAATGATGAAATGAACAAGGAAGCACAGCAGGAAATGGAAGTAAGAAGGTCAATATGAGTGAGAAGTCATGCAATCAAATCTCCCTGGTTAGAGGAGTTGAAAAAGACCCATGGCAAGAGACAACTTGATGAGAAAGAGGAATTATTTCGGATGTTGACAATAAGATGTGATGAAGATGAAGGTGGCAAGTAAGTGTTGGGACTGATTCTAATTGGGACAACTAATTGACAATAATTCTAGACATTATAGAGATTCTAATTGGGACTGATTCTATTTAGGAATTAATCCAGATGTTAAATTGCTGATTGTTTCTTTTGGTATAGGTACATTGTTGAGATGTATGGGTACTACCTGACTCGTGCTGAGCTTTACTGCCTACAAGACAAGAAATAGATGGACGACAAGGTAAGATAGTTGTTTACATAGATAGAGAAGTAGCAATGTCATTATGATTATGACTAATAGTTTATGTTTGTGATATAGTTCATGTCTATGGTGGTGAAAGAGAGCCTTTTTAATCGTTTGCATTGGGGTTCTCACTCAAAAATTAATCCAAGCTAATGCAATATAATGCAAACTCGGGTGGTTTCTCTTTTGGGAGCCTAAATTAATTATCTAAGTTAAACTGAATGCTATGCAAAGTAATGAAAAGGGGTTTCTGGGTTTTTAACATTTAATGAAATGTGCCAAAGTTGAATGCAATGAAAACAAATCTAAGTTACTATGTTTTTTGGATTTTCTAAGATAGTAGTGATGTAATGGAAATGAATGATGGGATTTCTCTTGAAAATGGTTTTGATGCAATCATAGTTCACTTAAATATGGGAGTTTCACAAATCATTAGGTTTTCTTAATCAGAACCTCATTAACTCAATGAGTCCAAAGCTTTCATTAATGAACTCATTAATGAAAGCTTTGTTTAGCTTCCCTAATGTGTAAATTTGGAACGATCATGCAAATGGCTTAATGTAACACACAATAAACTCAGAATCCAAACACAACCATGCAAGATAAGAGAGAATAATGAGAGTTACACTAAGCATATATGTAACTACATATATTTAAGCTCATAGTTCAACATAAATCAATTCAAAATACAAAAGCTAATCAGTAACTACTGATTACAGAGTTAATCAAAGCATCTAACTAAGACTTTACAACTCCTAAACCTAGGAAATCATAAATGCCTAGCTAAAAACTAAAGATTAAAACTAAAACTCCCCTTTTGAAGCTTTGGAACTCATGCTACTCCACCATCTTCAAGAGTTGAGAAGCTTAGCTCATCATAGCCTTAGAATCAGCTCCAACCAGAGGGAGTTCTTGAGCCATAACAGTAGCATATGGAAGAAATGGAAATGGATGAAGAAGAAATGCAGGAAAATGGAAGGTGAAGAAGATGGAAATGGGGGATTAGGGTTTCTGAGGGAGAGATGAGAGAAGATGATGATAGAAACGTAGGTGGTGGCTGAATAATGAGAGTCTGACCTCAACATACCCAAAATAGGGTTTCTAACCCGAAATTTACGTGCATGAGTCGGTTCCTAGGGGTGGGTAGGTCAACATTTCCCGAAATGGTCAGGTCTGAGATTTGCTGATACGAGGTGTTCGCCAAGGCGAAACATGGCAGAGAGCCTTGCTTCTTAACGGACGAAGTTCGCCACGGCGAACCATGGCAGAGGATCCTTCTTGCTTCTTGTGCCTTGAGTTCTTTAATTCTGGCCCCAATCTCTAGTGTCCTACAATAAAAAGCAACAAATTGAAGTATCAATTGTCCTAGAAATCAATTGAATACAATTAATAACCAATTATGACAATTTTATCCTCAAAAAGACACTAATTTTAAAGTAAGGACTCTTAATCTAAATTAAGCACAATTATCACTAAAAAGGTCTAGAAAATACCACAAAATCATGGATAATGTAATGAAAAGATAATAATATCTTGAGCTCAATCAGGTGGTGAGAACTTTGGTGGGAGATGAGAAAGAGAACTACAATCGAGTCAATAGGCACATATTTTCACTCAAGTTCATGCAAACAATAGCTGGTAATCCTCTTAGATGGAGCGTGGAGAACCATGAACATGAAATCTTGCCGGAGTACTTAGGATATAACATTAGAGACTGTGACTTCATATTTGGCCCCACCCTTTTCAATTACCATTGGTTCTGTTATGTGCTAGATGTCAGAACGATGAGTTTCTATACCCTTGATTCATTGTCGATAATTTCACTATGTTGAGAATACAAGGAGAGGAAGAAGATGTAATCAAAACGGGGAAGAAACCAAAGAGGAAGCAAGGGGTTAGGAAAGGACAAATAGATCTAAGCAATTCATAGCAAAAGGGATTGTATGCATAACTTTTCATTCATCCTATTGAAGGGAATTGAAAGACGACGCGCAGCAGAAAACAACACAAAATTTTAAAACTTTTCAATCCCTTGCCCGGATCTACCGATCGCGTTTAAGTCAGGTAGTAAGAAGTATTACCTTCGGTGTTCGGTTTCCGAGTGGCTTGGTGATTCCGCCGTTCAGGATGCCTCTGCTCGCCTCCTTTATCGTTCGAAGTCGACAACTCCGGTCGGCTTCCTCTACCGGTATCCACACGAGTAGCCCTCAACCTCGAACGACGTGCTAGCGTCTATGTCCGTCTAGGGTTTCAGAGAATCCGTCCACTCTTATCTCTCTTAGGCCGTCTCTTATCTGTTGGTGCTTTCACTCTCACTCTTCAAACCCTAGCTCCCTAATATCGAATATATAGGATGCTATAGGTATTATGAGTGATATTTTAATTTCGAAATTAATCCTAAATTAATTCCGAAATTAATACAATATCAAATATTGCATAATTAGATAAGAGAACAATTAAATAAATATGGTTTATATTAAATCCGTCTCACAGATTTAATTCACCTATTTATCTAATTCAAAAATAAAGATATGACGGAATTAATTTACATAGATCTAATTTATCCTTATAAATTAAATCTGACAATTAATATCTCTTATATTTATATATAATATATATATACGAATATATATATATATACACGTCCACCCTATTTATTCATTGAATCTAGACATATCCTAGATTCAATGAATCTGGACATCATAACTCGTGTTGGGCTATTTTGTGTGCGACCCTGTAGGCCCATATGAAGTTGGCAGTGGGCCATTAACTATAATGACTCACAAGCCATAAGCGGTCTCTAGCAAGACATCACGACTACCCAAAACATATGAGGATCATTGAACGATGCAACCTTTCATACAACCATATCGCGTCCCTTTTGTCACACGACATTTTGGTCATGGACGAGGCATGGAGAACGTCATCCTCCTATTCATGACCGTTACTTTCTCGATCCCTGAGTAGTCTGAGTATAGAAACGGAACTACCTTTCCATTATAGTATGGTCATACATTTCTCAGACTCACTCATCGAGGGGCCCAGTAATGTCTCTCTACGAATGTGAGGGACAAATTCCATCTTAACCATTCACATTCCTCCGCATGAAAAACCACTAAGCCTGAACATAGTCTTTATGATCACTCGGTCAAAAGTGACTTTTGACTAGGTCAAAGCTAAGCGTCTCTCATGTAGGAATCCATGATGATCTCAGGTCAAAGGGCACAATGACATGGTTTGTATATGAGAGAAGCTTATGACTTAACCCATGCAGCTCTCTCATAGCGGGTCGGTCCAACACCTTGTACTCTTAAGTGTGCCTATGACTTTAATTTATATCTCTATATATCTTTAAAGTCATACTGGTCTTATTTCATCTTTGCTCCCACATAGATGACCGACCAGGGACATTTAGGATAAACCATGAGTTATCCAAGGATAGTCATCACAGTAAACATGCAAATAATATGATAACGTAATTAATAAATTCATAAATGAACAATGTTCAAAACATAATGATTGGCCCCTAGGGCACAATTTCCAACACCTATTACTTATTAATGTGTTAAGGTTGCTTGTCTGTATAAATGTCCTGGTTGTTGATGCCTACTGATTACTGGTCATTGGCTACTGTCAAGCTTGTTAATGCTTCCTTACAACTTATCTTCACTATTGTCAAAGCTGTTCCTTTTTTTCTTTATGTTTTGCAGAAAGATTGTTTCCACCAAGTGCTTTGTGTAATCAAGCCAGTACTATTTGAGGAAGAGGACAAAATTGACAAGGATGTCATATGTAACATCCAAACTTTTAGGCCTAGAAGTACCAAAAATAGCCTAAATTGGATAGGCTACCAGATCCCTTTTGAGCAGAAGTCCCAAAGATGAGAAAGGAAGTCAAAGCAGTTTTAGGAACTAAACTGCAAAGTAAAAGTTTTCAGGGGCTCAAGTATAATCAAGGCTAGAGACTCTAGTAAAGTCTTAAGGGCCCAGAGAGAGAAAAGAGGCTAGATACAGACCAAGGGTTAAGTTAGAAACATCAAAGAGAGGATTGTATGAAATTAAGTCCAAGTAGGGACTAAACCGTAAATTCAGAAAATTATGATCAACAGGGGTAAAAATGGAAGAGTATACAGAGAATTCCAAGAGAATCCCAAAAAATGGGAAATAATATTCTAAGGCTTTCTGTGAAGAGAAAAGACGAAAATACCCTTGAGACAGTTTAAATGGAATTTATAAGGTTATGGCCGGTAAAAAGTACATGCTTCAAGGTAATTATTTAAAATAGCAAGAAACCTCAAAAATATACACAAAAATAAGGTTAAATGGTTGGAAGGTTGTACTAATTTATAAAATTAGTCCTGTAACCAAAAGGCTAGTGGAATGGCTTTAATAAATTAAAAAGCCAGTTGTACCGATAAAGGGGCATTTTAGTAAATGAATTTTTATGCAAGGCTTAAAGGAAGTGTTTAGCTTAAGAAAATTCATAAATATTCTCTAGAATTAAAGAGAATTTATGGAGTAGACAAAAGAATTTTCTGAGCTGCGGAAGGCCATAAAGGAAGTCGGAGAAAGGTGGGCCAAGTAAAATAAGAGGAAACTTAGGGAACAAGTTTTGATCTAATGGGTAGGATCTAATCTCCCTTCTCCTCCACCATATTTGTGACACTTGGCATCTTCTAGAAGAATGAGGTAAGGATGATGCAAGAAGATGATGCAATGATGATGTAAAAGTCAACTTGAAGTTCCAAGATTGCCCTTACTCTTTCTATTAGCCACCAAGGGCATTTTAGTCCATTCAAGCCAAATTTTTGGCTATAAATAGAGCCTCTCCCCCTTCATATTTTCGGCCAACATAAGTTTAAGAGGGGAAACTCTACCAAAATTTAGAGAGAAAAACGTAGGGGTGAAGGCCAAGAAGAAGGAACAAGATTCAAGCTTCAAGATCAAGGTATGTGATGGTTGTAGCATCTGATTTTATGCCTATTT